CTATCTAGTGCCTTGGAGTCTCGATGCCTTTTGTAACAAGTCCCAATGCAGGATCATGGGGTATAGTTGGCAGGATCTTGTGTCCAACCAACGGTGTGAGACTGGCATGGGACCTGTTATTTGCATAATCCAGGACCACCAACTCAGGCTATATGGGTACCTTATAGTATTTATATAAGTATATGTATATGTATAAACACTCACATACACACACATATCATAGAATTCCCTTCATACCTTACGACTACATTCTCTACCTAAAAAAGTCGAAAATTCTTCCTCAAATTGTCTAAATTTCTTCCTCTGTAAAGCATCCGATGATTTTACAATTTGGCATGCACAGGTAGCAATCGTGCGAGGTAAGCCAGCGTCATGAGCCCTCAGAGGTCAACGAAAAGGTCTCTAGCTGTTCTCAAACATCAGTTGAATTACAGTTTCGTTCCTACAAAAATCGAGCATTTGTTAGGCTTCTCATCTCTAAGGACTTTCAACCTCAAGTTTTACTTGTAAGGAAATATAAGGTGTTAATTCTTGTTAACAATATAGTCCCCGGTTATCACTAAATTGCATCTACTACCATCTGTATCACCTTCATGCATAAGACTCACCGTTTAAGGTAAACTTACAGCAAATTTGTACTTGTTAACATCACACTGAAAGAAAGAATGCCTCCCTAAACCACGACTGTGGACATACAACACCAGCAGCTGTGGTTGGGGTTAATAACCGGTGCCGTGAGCCAGGGCAGCTGGTTGGTGGGCATTGGGTATGCTCAGAGCTGGCCTGGGGGCGGATGTGTCGACCTGCTTGTCGGCAAGGCTTCGTCATGATCAAAAAATCTTCCTCCCCAATTTACATATGTTCAACCTCCACCGGCCTTTGGACCCCCAGCTCGGAACTCCCCGCATGCACGCGTAAGTACCCTAGCCACCGTTCCAGGGGTCGGCGAAAGGCTTGCTATACAGCCGTCTTTAGGGGATGAAGTAGCCTTTCTCTAGACGTGTTTTTAGGGTTGATGGGGCTTGCTCTAGAGACGTTTTTAGGGTTAATGGGGCTTGCTCTAGAGACGTTTTTAGGGTTGATGGGGCTTGCTCTAGAGACGTTTTTAGGGTTAATGGGGCTTGCTCTAGAGACGTTTTTAGGGTTGATGGGGCTTGTTCTAGAGACGTTTTTAGGGTTGATGGGGCTTGCTCTAGACACATTTTGAGAGGTTGGTGTAGTCTAGGCTGGTTTACGGTAAGCAAATAATGCAGGTTTATAATTTTTCTGAATTTCCTTATTATTATTCTTGTATGGTTTAATATGTGTTTGTGTGTAGGCTAAGGGTCACTGTAGAAAACCCTTGTTGTTCAAACGCAATAAACAGGTATGCTTTTATGAAAACTATCTTTTATTGATATAATAACTGCTTGCTTTATACTTACTGGATTACAGAGCCATGCAAATAGACAGATAGCCAGGTAGATATAAAAATAGATAGATTGATAGATAGTTATATACCAATGAATTCAAAACATTTCTGTCTTCTGTAGCCACAGTTTCCTTCCGGCCAAGTGCTGGCTGTCTGCCCGGGTTTGAACGGCGGAAAACCCATCCTGATGTATGCTGTGAGTATCTTCAGTGTTATACTGTACATGTAGAATATCGTAATTCGTCGTATCTTCAGTATCTTTAGGATGAAATTTAAAAGATATATATAAATATAAATATATGTTTTTTACATTGTAATTTTGTGAATTTAACAACTTATAGATCCTGGTATATTAAAAAAGAATCGACTCCTAAAATTTCAAACTTAAAACAAAATCTCCAACACTTCCCCCCCACCTTCTTTTCCTCAGTGGCGTGTACCCCAGGGATGCACCGTAGTTCGAGGCAGCGGCAGTGTACTCCATGCCCATTGGGAACATACACTGACAACTTCGCAAGGTAAAGTGTAGGCAGTGTAATGGAGAATTTCAGTGGTTGATTCGGGCCAGGAGCCTTGTGGAGAAAAGGTGTGAGAGAGAGTGAAAAGAAATGGCTATAGTGAGATTATTTATTTGACGTTTCGATGGTAGAGCGTCACGAGTCACAGTAACAGATTTTTATATGGAAGCTTAATCATTCACTTTAAGAGATATGTTAACCTGTAAATAAGGACCCAAGTTTGGCCATGGGATCACACCCGATATAAAGAATTATCAAGCGATTCTTTACCTCTTTATGGTATTTGAACGCATTAAATAGGTAGATAGATGTACTGAGCATTTTTTCTGCTATGAGTAATTGTATATTCTCGTGTTTTATTTTAATTTAAATCATCAGTTAACAACAACAACAACTATAATAATGTTGCTGATGATGGCAATAACAATGATGATAATAACGATAATGATAATAATAATAATGATAGTGTTGATGATAATGTTAACCAGAAAAAAAACTATAAAAGACGTTAGGAACTAAAAACTAACAACCAAATTTCCCTTTCCTTTTCTGACCTTTGACCTCTCGCCCGCCAGCCAACGATGCAAGCAGTGTGCCGACGGATCCACGACAGCAGAGCCAGGGGCCAACTCGAACGCCCTTTGTCTTTTCCCCGTTGAATGGACCGAGAGCGCCGCCCGTGCACAGGTGAGGGCGGGCGGGCGTCTTGGTTCGAGGAAGAGAGAGAGTGAGATAGAGAAAGGGGGTGGAAGTTTTTTTTTTTTTTTTAAGATTTTAGGGATATTTTGAACTTTTTTTTTGTATTTTTGTTCTTTGTTTTTTGTTTTTTTGTTTACAGATTGGTAAATCATATTTGGAAATGATGACTTTTATTGGTGATTTTTATATGTATTTTGGGAACATGAACATGAAACCCTTTACACTGAGACATTTTATCAACCTTTTCATGCCGTTTTAATTAGTGGTACTCACTCATATTTTTTTCTGTATTATGTAGTTATAACATGCAACACCTAAATTTACGTAATCTTTATAACAAAGCTTGTGAACTCACCAGTTGTTGAAAAAACTGACCCTTTGAGTGAGGAAAAAGTTTATATTAGATGATGTTATTAAGTAAAAAAAAAAATAATAATAATAATGAAATCTGATTTTCACTATTTTATCCAGTATTTGATCATTAGTATCTAAGTTCTTTTTTTTGATAAACATCATCAGTATGACTGCACCCTTGCACATATACATTAATCATATTTGTTGTAGAATTAATCTCGTTTTTTTTCTTATCATAATATTTCTTTCTTTTTTATTAGATCTCACTGTTTTCTTAATCTTTCTTTTCTTTTTCATTACACCTCAATGCATCTTTTTTTCAACATTTCAACATTCTTTTACATACATATCACAATAATGATTTACATATTTACAACAAAAATTAATATAATGATAATTAGAATTTCTACATTCACATTAATAAACAGATTTAACACTTTCCTCTGTGAAAATATAGATAAATATTCTCATGCTATTGTTAATATTAATGTTAATGTTAAGAATTGACTGGCCACTCACACTCTGGATTGTTTTAATTCACCGTTTTTTCCTATTCATTTGATACTTGACACTTATGCTTACATACGTTTAGCAGCTGTTAAACTCATATAGAACATTCATATTGCTTTACACCACTTTATTATATTTTTTCACATGAGATTTGGCGAATCGGTATAATTTTCATATAAATATATATATCCTTCTATTTATGTTACATTATAATTAATTACATTACATTAATGCCACACCCTCATCTCGATATGTATATTTTTTTTCTCCTATTACACACACTCATCTTGATATATATTTTTTTCTCCTATTAATGCCACATCCTCATCTTGATATCTTGACATTTTGATATATTTTCTCCTATTAATGATACACCCTTATCTTGATATATATTTTTCCCTCCTATTAATGCCACACCCTCATCTTGATATATATTTTTTTCCTCCTTTTTTCCTTGTTATATATTTTTCATTTTTCCTATTAATGTTACACCCTAATCTTGATCGATTTTTCATTTAGACTGAACAACGAAAGAAAGTATGGGAAGAACGCAAAACGTTTTCGTGGACGGTAGGTCTCTGTAGACACAGTTTGCTGTATTTGTGTTCCTATGCTTTTCGTAGTTACAGTAGAGGCTGGTTGTGGGCCCTCGAGAAGTTAGAGATACAACGCACACTTCTTGGACTAATTTTATAACTTGGGGGGGTTATGGTGATACACATGCAGAGGGAAAAAGGAGATGGATTTAACACACTCTCAGTTTACATCCTTGTGTTTCACTCACATACTAACAGTTATACCATTTGTACATATTTTAATAACTTCTTTTGGAATGTGGGACTGGAATAACTAGAGTGTATAAGCTGTATAAGAAGACCGAGCTTGCTGTAAATCAAGCTTGAAAGTAAGCTTAGATGGAAAGGAGAGAAAGAGAAAAGAGTGCAGAAGTGTACATGGAAGATGATATAATAGATGATAAATGTAATGGAGAAGGAAAGGAGGAAAAGAAGGAAATAAAAGAAGTGATATTGTCTACTTTGTTTTGCTTTGAGATGTGATGCTTATAATTATTAAAATGTAAATGTATATTTTCATTTATCTTCACCTCTGATAGAAAGAAAATTAGAAAAATAGAGAGCTTTTGAGATGTGGGCACGATGTCATTTTCCGACTTTTTGGATTTGAATTTCCTTGGCGATTTTCAGGTAAGACGCTTTTTCTTCATGTTAAGCTTCCTTTGTGCTGACAGGGACGCAACAAAAAAATAGATCAATTTACAACAGCAATCTTCTTTTTCCTTTTTATTATTACAATATGTTCTCCCACTTGAAGCTATTCCCATGTGGGTAAGTGCCCGATTTGTAAGTATCTGTCACGTGTTTTATGCAGAAGCAATTAACAAGGCTGGACTCCTGTACATAGATCAGAGCATGTAACTCATGTTTTAATTGTTCAAATGTCAAATGCTCGGAAAGCATGGTTATAATGTACTCTTGTTATATGTGTTTTTTTTTTATCGATATTTTGTTTTCTTGCATTCCAAATTTTGATACATTTTCCTTCTTGAGTTCTGACAGTTAGGGATTAAATGTGCTGTTATTATGAGTTAGAAATGTATATCAATGTTCGTGATTAATCTATTCAAGGTTAAAGAGATAAGAAAAAAAAGAAAAAAAAAACAGAATATATCCTTAGTTAATAGTCGACGATACATTTACATAACTAATCTGTTCCAAATCACAATACCAAATTCCTCACCACTGTTGCCTCATGTATTCCCCGTGACTATGACCCGACGTAACACAGGGAAAAAAAGGGCTCATTAGACATTTGCTTTCAGTAATCCCGTCAGAGGCGACTTGGCATCAACCTACCACGAGCAAGCTTCAGCCTCCTCCTCGGCAGCCGCACACTTTCTGCAGAATTTCCCCTTTTCCGCTCTCCCGCCTGGCACCACGATGGCACTGGCACACGCCCATGTCAGAGGGGGCTCGAATACCCACGCCCAAGCCCATGCCCAGGCCGGCATCTATAACTTCGGCTAAGGTCCATTTTCTCCCTCTCTAAATGCGTCGCCTTGGACCTTACGCTACGCAGCCAAGATTTTTGTACACTGAACGTGCGATATTGTGTAGCACAGGAAGCACTTAGTGGTAAAGGAAATACTTAAGGAAACTGATATTCCTGTTATTGTGTATATAGATTTTTTTTATTATTTCTTTTTGTTGTCCTTTCCATGAATTACCCTGTTAGGTATGCTAATGGAGGTTCTAATATGAATAAATAATTCTTTGTTATTATTTTTCTTACGAATACGGTACCATAGGCAATTTTGTTCTTAAAACTAAAGTACTAAAGTTTGGCAAATATAGCAGATACAGTCATTTCTTAAAATATGCTTTTGGCAGAATATTCATCAATATCCTTCCCTTTGATTTTTAGAAATAAAATATGTAGACATGACAGGCTACGATCAACAAGGTATACATAGCGTTTCCAAAGGTGATAACAAAATGTATGTTGAGCTGTATGTATGCATATTTTATAGGTGTTATATTTTGTTACTTCTTTGCCCTTTTTATTTATTCTGCACTAAATATTTTATCTATTTATTTTGAAGGAGATGGAAAAGTGTAATTTGTAATGATACAATAATGTGTTCGTATGGATATTCTGCCTGAAATTTCAATAATTTTAATTCGCTGATCAAAATTGCCTCTGATGAGTCATTGGATTACACGATTGACTAATTCTACAATCTCTTTTCCGGTTAAATTTCCTCTGTTTATTAAAGGCTGAATCGAAGAAGGTGAAATAACAAGGAGGCAATAACATCTTATTTTAAATTTAAAAAAACAAACTTACTGAATGTTGGACATAATCCAGTGTTTTAAGGTACGACAAGTTTTCAAAGTTATTTATACATGTTTTCTTTTACATGTGATGGCCGTCAAAATTTGCAACATTCAAAATCTTAAATCTGTGTTAATAAAGCTTAAAGATACTCTAGATTTGATTAGGTTTCTCTGTTAGTCATCGTTTTGTAAGAAAGGAATCCATGAAAAAAAAAAAAACGATTAGAAAAACCTCCCTCCTTTTGGTATGAAACAACGCACTTGAAAAGATAGGTGGCACCACTTACAAATATTTAGTACGTTGAAACCAAAAATAAAACTTGACTTTTCTATAGAGTATCCCGACGGTCTGTTATGGTACGGTAGGCCTCATTATCATGAATAAATTAATGTAATGTCCTTTTTTTTCTTTTTTTTTGACAGTCGATCAAAAATGACAATATTTTGATAGGAAAACCTCTTGATATTTACAGCATATGATGAGTTTCATGGAGACAGTGGTGCTGCTAATCTTATTAAGTTCCTTGTTCTAAGTTCGTAATGAGTAATTTCCAGAAACAAGGAAATATCCTGAGACACTGCCAGCATGATTCCTGTTACAAGGTTTATTTTTTCTTTATCTGAATTGAGGTCTCGCACGCAAAAATTCCATAGCAGACTTCAAACCAAATAGAAATTTCTGGAAACTTCGTCCAAAGTTCAGGATCTCGCCACTTTCTATAACTTTCCACTGCCAATGACGGGCATCAAATATACATTTCTGCAAATGCGTGAAAGTAGCAGCCAGTTTCAGGCTCTGAAATATACCCCAATATTTATACATGGATAACATTTTTACGCCAATTATTTGTTAGTCTGAAATATGCGCCAAATTCATATGCGATAGTAACTGCATGTTCTTTTTTTTAGTAAGTCTTCGAATCCAAAACTTTCTATTATATTGGTGCTACCCATACTATAGCACTATAATAACGCTGCACATGCTATGTCATTATGATCATGCGAAAACACAGAAATGCAAATATGTAAATATTAGATAGGAATGTCTTTTAGTGGTTTTATATGAATTAGCATTAAAAATCATTATAGAATCAGTGAAGCTAAATGCACTGTATAATAGATCAGTACTTGTTTGTATATGAACACTTAATGC